CACTGAGTGTAAGGCTATGTGAGCAAAGAAAGAGAGGGACAGGTTTGGAAAAGGGAAGGTTGCGTGCGGTTCGTGACCCGATTATATGATACTGCATTGGCATGGTAGTCGCCCATTAGAATTCCTCGTCGATCCAGTCGACCCATCTAAATAACTAGGGTTGAAATTCCGCCACTGTCTGGACTCGATTTTTAGATTTAAAAGTGCGCTTTGCGACCGGTTGGATCTCAGAATCCAGAGTATTTAAAGGTGTTTTGAGTAACATTAGTAATTATTTTGATGAAACAATTGAATAATCCCTTACTATTTTCAGAAAGTTTGAATTGTTAATTGAAAACAAATGAAAAATAAGTAAAAGTGCTAATGTTTATATTTGATTGACATACTTGAATATATTACAAACACATAGCATAAAAAATATGCACAAGAAACACATGTGTTTTTTAGAATCAAATTTTTCACATATTTCATTCAACGTTTTTTCCAAACTTTTTCGAAACTTATTTTCGAATGATTTTCGAAGTCATAATTTTGTGGCGTACAACATTCTGTAATCGAAACAACACACACACTACAGTTCAAAACACCATCTACCACTGCAAACTACATCAAAAATCAAGTGATATAATCAGCTCACATTTGCAAATAGTTCTCATATTGACCAACAGATGATAAGTACAATTCAACTCCATCAAAGAAGACGTCTTCTCAATGCACAGAATAGACATATCATCGCCCACGCGCGGAAAGATGGGGAAAATGTGCCCGAGCTACACTGGTACTATCCAGCATTAACACTAGAAAGGACAGACGTTTCGAAAATAAACCACTTTTTCGGAATCGGTATTCTAAAACGTGTATTTCCGTTGAAATTTCGAAATAGATTTTACGCAGCCATACGTAACTTTCCCTATACTATGTATAATACGCAGTATATACGTACGTATACAGGAAAGTAAATTGTGAGGCCAAACAAAGAAATGTCGAAAAACACTGCAGTAAATGCAGAAAAGTATATTGTGTATTTTGCAGAGCAATAAAGATAGTAATTTGCTCTTCGTACAAATAAAATGTATGTTTTAATGATTACATGAGGGTATGCTAATCATTATATTACATTAGCGATAAAAGGTAGAAGTAAAATGCTCTTTGCGTGAATTATCAATATATTTGTTTCTGAAAATTTCATTTAATTGATTGATTATATTAACTCTCTCTGAACTACCCCTTTACCATACAAAGTTATTCTGGTTATAAACATAATGTATTATGTAAAAGATGAATTATATGCAGCGGCCAAACTACCGCTTAGACGGTTCTAGATATATGCATGGTTACGGCGGTTCTAGTGTTAAGTATTGGTCGGGCTTGGGCTTCAAAGTGTTAAACGTCTCAAGCGCTCAAGATTGTGTGGGGTATTGAACAGATCGGTCACGTTTACCTCCCTTCGCAGAACTCATCAGTCCATCAATCTGTCTGCTTGAAACCCATGGCCGTTCTTCCGCCCACGGTCTATTCCTCAGCTCTGCTTCCCACGCCGTCCCCCTCGCCCGCTCGCGGATTCCATTGCGAGCGAGCCGCACGCGCTATTCTAGTGTGGCGTCGTTAACACGAGGGCCAGAACCGTTAGGTTGGTGAAAGTACGCTGCGGGGGAGGAAGGGGTTGATCCTGAACATCCGGGGGTTTGCGCTCGGGCGGTTGACTCAGGTAGTGCCGCAGAGCCAAAAATACCGGAGGCTGTAAACTCCGAGGATGCTGCCGGCGAGCCTCGTTTACGGAAGCAGGCAGCCAACCTGAGAATTCTGTGTGGGGGCGTAAACCAAGGCTGGCCTGCGAGTCTATCTATGGAACAGTGGTGGGGGTGTCAGCCTCAACTATTTAACGCGGCGCCATCTGCGCCCGCGTTCTCATTCAGTTTGCATCGGGAAGCTTGTACGTGCGTACAAGGGGTGTAGGAGTGTGGGCGAGATGTCCGGAGAGTAAGGGCCAGACAATCTCACGTGCTGTAGGCACACGGTCGCCACGACCGGGTTAAATTTTGGAGTCAGGCCATGTGACGGTAATTGTCACGGGACCGAGGTCCGATAGCGCGCATCACGCGTGGCTTGTATTTTCTGCGGTAAAGCAGTGTTCTGAAAGGAAAAGGTTGCCGGAGTGTTTTAATATTAGCAATTCATTGTAACTTGTACATAATCTTTGAATATATTATTTTTATTTTGTTATTGAAATTTATTTTTTATTTCACTACGTCACACTAGGAAACCCCGCATCGCTCGTGAGAGAATCCTCCTCGTCCACTAGAATTCTGATAAAAAATTCGACCCATTAGGGTTGAAATCCCGCTTCTGTCTTGACTCGATTTTCGATTAAAATGAGTATGATTATTTGATCGCTTAAATTATCAGTTAAACGTATTAAGAGCTTAAAATCGTGTGTGAGGTATTCAACACACCGGTTGCGACTACCTCTTCCCAAGAAGTCATAATTTCAACCTGTCAACTACACATCTATGACCATTCACACACGATTCATTTCTGAGTTCCGCTGCCCCCGCCGTCCCCTTCGTCCGATAGAAAAGCTCTGCCCGCACGCGCATTACATTGCAAGGGCGCGGCACGCAACGTTTGAGACCTCGCTTCGCGGCAAATCGCTCGTAATAGAATTCTCGAAGGCTACTAGCAATCTTGTCGGAAATTCGAGTCATCTAAATAGTCAGGATTGAAGAAATCTTGACTGTATTTTAGATATAAAAGAGTTGCGCTTATTTGATTGCTCAAATGATCAGCTAAACGTCCAAAGAGTTCAAGATTTTATGTGGGGTTACAGATCACCTCCACAGGTCAGCGTGCGCGCTTTCTACGACGTGACCCAGGGTTCGATGCCCGGTCGGGGCAGTTTATAACGTGCACTATTCTGCAATGGCCCAGTAGCTCCTTGACGATGAGAAAAATCACATCTCAGGTTGACAAGACCATAATACGGTGTAGGGAAGTCTATGTGTAAACAACATGTACCCCTTTATCCTTGGCCGCAAGGCCGAGACGCGGTTGGTAGGCCTTGCGCTCGTCAGAGGCAGTTGTTGCAGTTCAGACATACAGATCGGATATGACTACCACCCTTTCAAGAAGTCATCAGTCCATGCAACTGTCTGCTTCACATCTACGACCATTCGCCCACGATTCATTCCTCAGTTCCGCCCCCCCCCTCCCTCGCCGTCGTCTTCGCCCGATAGAAAAGCTTTGGCTCGCTTGCGCATTCCACTGCTGTCCTAGGAGAGCCCGCATCGCGGCAAATAGCTCGTAATAGAATTCTCGAAGGCCACTAGAAATCTTGTCGGAAATTCGACGCATCTAAATAGCTTGGATTGAAACTATCTGGACTGGGTGTTAGATTTAAAAGAGTTGCGCTTATTTGATCCCTCAAATGATCAGCTAAACGTCTTAAGAGTTCAAGGTTTTATGTGGGGTATTTTATAGATCACCTCCACAGGTCAGCGTGCTCGCTTCCTATGACGCAACCCAGTGTTCGACTCCCAGTCGGAGCAGTTTATAACGTGCGCTTTCCTTGCAATGACCCAGTAGCTCTGTGACAATGAGAAAAAACTCTTCTCACGGCGTAGGGATGTCTATGTGGTAACCACACGTACCCCTAAACCCTTGGCCGCAAGGCCGGGTCGCGACTAGTAGGCCTTGCGCTCGTCAGAGGCAGTTGTGCCATTCCAAACATACAGTCACGCAACAGATAGGTTATGACTACCACCCTTTCAAGAAGTCATCAGTCCATCAATCTGTCTACTTCACATCCATGCCCATTCGCCCACGATTCATTCCTCAGTTCCGCCCCCCCCCTCGCCGACGCCTTCGCCCGATAGAAAATCTGTGCCCGCGCGCGCGTTCGACTGCTGTCCTAGGAGAGCACGCATCGCGGCAAATCGCTCGTAATAGCGTCGCCGCCGCCGCCGCCGCCGCCGCCGCCGTCGTCGTTCGCTTCCTCCCGAGGGGGCGGGGCCGCCGTGGGTCGAGTCGAGTCGCGGAGGGGGGCAGCGGCGACGCCTCGCGACGCCCGAGATGCCGAGAGGCGGCGCGCTGTGGGCCCGCATACCCAATTCAGTCGACTCAAATCGGAATTTGGTACATGAATATAACGAGAAAAGTCTAAAGAAATAATACTTTTGCGGCTCGAATCCATAAATTCTTGGCCATCCGGGAGACGTCGCATCGTTGGCTGGGAGATTGACGTTTCGCCTGACATGTCGCAGGCTTCCTCAGAGCAGTGACGGTTCTGGGGAAGCCTACGACATGTCAGGCGTAACGTCAGCCTCTCAGCCAATGTCGCGGCGTCTCTCGGATAGCCAAGACTTTCAAATACTTGTATTGATAAGATGGATATTTTTGTTATGGTTCGTTGATTTATAATTCCATTACTCATCGAAGAAACCTAGTTTGTATATTATATGATTTGTTTCCATTTGGCCGTCAAAATTAAATGCTAAAAACAGTGAAGAAATATATGGTCAAAGAACCACAAATTGGATCTCCAAATGATAGAGGCGTTTGAAAACAATTTGATGGAAAGCATACTTTTTTTAGTTTTATTAAAAAAATATTCATTGTGTTTATTCAGTTTAGCATCTGAATACTGATTACATTATGGAGTACAAGAGCATAAACAGTCAACACTAGATATTTTAGTGATTGTATGTTGTTGGTAAGTGATGTCGAAGGCTTCTGTGGGCAGTCTTGCAAATACTTTTAACTGTCTTCGAAATCTGTCTAGGCGACCTTTCGACCATCTTTTCGAGGTCTTCCTCCCGCCCGTGTGGAAGTGAACCAGGGACGAACCAAGACAATTAGTCGCTGTTGTTTGTTTGTTTGTTTTTCGTGTTAGAAATCAAAGTCGCCATTATACCACTACCTGTTTATTTTAATATAAAAATGTTTAATCCGATCTCGTATTTGAAATCGACGGCTCAACGAATATCAACCGCTTTTTTCGTAGTAATTGGCCTCGTTCCTCGCAATGCCGTCCACAGTGCGGCGCCGCAGGCGTCGGTGGGTGTCGCGTGCGTTCATTGGCTGACGCCGATCCGCCCGGTGGCGCCTCTGGCGGCGGCGCGGGGCGAGCGGGCCGTGACGGGCCGCGCCTTCAGTGCGGGGCCGACCGCGTCCCGCGCGATCTGGTGTGGGAGATAGCGCCGCTGCCGACATCGCCACCGCCACCGCCACCGCCACCGCCAGCGCAGCCGCCGACGCTGCCACCGCCGCCCGCCGAGCACACGGAGCGCTCGCTTTTGTTTTGTTTTGGATTTACCTCGTTTTCCCGTCGGCCGGAGACGGTAAGAGAATGGCTATTTTAATGGTTGTTATGATTTGAAAACTGTGTCCCCCTGTATTTTTTTAGGAGGAATGTTAGAGATTATGAAGAATTTTGACAATATTTTGTGGCGAAAGATGTCTAAAAGGAATACAATTCTTTGGGTCTCACATTTTCTCTGTCAACTGTTTATAATTTCAAATAACAGATCCTATGAATTATAGTATTTCTGCATTTTTAATGAAATGACCGTTGCTAAAAACGTTGATTCAATGCGAATATCCTTTTTGTATTTTTTGGCAAGAGAGCTACTATATTATATTATTATTATTAATGAAATTATTAAAATTATTTTAATTAATAGATTTATAAGATTAGTGAGCTCAATTAATTTATATTGCCATTAAATTATACATCATTAATACATGTTTCTATATAAACACCCGATGAGGGATTAGCGAACCACTTTCAAAATTCATTGTCTGGAATACATATTTTCTTCTTATTGCCGATAATATATTTCATACTATTGCCGATAATATATTTCAAATTATAAAAATATATCTTTTTATTTTATTGGGTTTAATGGCCGTTTGATTTCTAAAGCCTAATGTGAATAATGCAGAACAAGAGAAATATAATTATGATGGATACAGGAAAATTAAGATAAATGGATCAGAGCAGATTATATGGTGTGAATATTTTAAACACGAACGTACATTTCAGATCGAATACAAAATATATTTCTTTTTCATTATTTTTCTGATAATACGTATAATTACAACTTTTGGTGAATAAATTCGAATTCGAAATTAATTACTTTAAAATTCCGGGTTGGCACAGTCTTCATAGTTTAAGCGTTCTTATGAGGACTCTTTAAACATGAAAGTACCTTTTCAATAGAAGTTCTGGTTTTCACAAGAGAAGCATAACAGTAGAAGCATTTATTCATTATTCAATTATTTTTAATGAGCGGTTTCACTTTTTAATAGCGCGCGCTCAAGAAAAAAGTAAGTGGGTGTGTGCTCTATCTGCCTTGGGCAACTTTGTTGTGTTAATCCCTTGGTTTGTTAATTAATGATTGCCTGTATATTTAATTCATATAAACGGGACAAGTCCCCCAGTATTAATATAAAGTTCTGGACTGCAAAATATTTTTCTTGCAATTAATAGTTTCTATCAGTCCGTTGTATAGTTTGTTATCCTATGACATGTCTTTCTAATTTTTTATCCGTACTAATATAATTGTTTTTGAATTGATATTTGAATATTGCGGAATGTCGTTGATATACACATCAATTTTAATGTTTTATATATGAAATTATTCTATTCGTAAATACTACAGGTGCTATTTGCAAGACGAGATTTGCCACAACACATTCCCTATATCTTTGGTTAATTGAAACGAAATATTTAATTAATTATCTGATCTAAAGATAATTGAAGGTGTAGTAAATGCTGCAATTCTAAATATGTATTATTTAAATTCTGGTTTGAATTTTGTGAATTTGTTTACCATTACAAAGGAATCGAGTAAGACACGTGAAGTCATATTTGCAGTTGGCTTCAGTCCCAAACATGATTGCCAACAACTAGCATCCGCACAAGCCAGCTTTTAACTTATTTTCTACGATTGAATAAAAGTAAACATCTTTTTCTCCTTCATGGTCGTGTCGAGGATAAAGTATAAGCATCCTTTCACATTAATTTACGGTTCTTTTTTGAAATTATTTTAGTATCAAGAGAAATCGAGCTGTAAATGTAATGTGACAGGCAAGTTGTAACTGTCAAATGGATTTGTGGGATACATCTTGAAAGGAATATGTGTAACTCTACTCACTCTGAACAGATTTACAGCATACCAAACAAAATTCTTGTGTATATTTAAATCGTTGGTGCGTAAGAAAATGAAAATTATAAAAATCCCCGTTTTTAGTGAAGTTGGTGAACGAAAACGTTAAGAAAACGTGTGTTTTTTAGGAGCAAAAAGTATGCATAGCCGCAAGATCTTCGGTATCACGAATAAAAAAAAGTATTTTGCCGTGAAACAAATGGATTCACTAAGAAAGAAACTGTTATCCTCCACAATTATAATTTGTTGATATATCATTGTGCGCTGATGGTATTAACTAAAAGTTTAAAGTGATTTTATGGATGTCATCTGACATTTACGCATTCTTTGCAGAAAAAATATAACGTTTCAGTCTAGAAGAAAACTGCTTTGTAGGAAGCAACAAGTATTGTCACACAAATTTGTATGAAGTTCATAAATATTGTTGGAAATTATTTAAAAAATGCTTCGAATTTTAAATTGTTCGAATATTGATTGTTTTTCTATTGCTATATGTTTGACCATAGGAATATTTTATTTAATTCTTTTATTTTACGAGCGCAACCAGTCTATAGTATGTTTAATTATTTTTTTGCGATGTGATTTCTATCTTGATGTGTAAGATTATTTTGAGAGTTTTTTTAAATAATAGGTAGGACTCTTTGGGCACAGCTTTCTGATTTAATATTTTTGGTGCCAATTTTAATCCGGAGAGGCAATGCAAATTCTGCTTCATCTATTGTGACTACAAATTAATCCTCTAGTAGAATGACCAAAGTGAAGGGATTGTTGAACATAAAATGAAATCTAAGGCCAAAATCAGGTGGATGAGATTAAAATGGTTAGTTTTCATATTCGTGCAAAAGTTGAGAGAAAAATGACTAGATGTCAAGCGGTCGTGAGACAAAGAGTTGACAACTACGTAGATCAGATCCTGCAGTTTTACCTGCTCAGTAAGAAATGATATAAATCGTGCTCATCAATCGTAGGCAAGGTTACCAGCTTATTAGAGAGTTAAAGTCAGAGTTGCGTGGTTTAAAATTGACGGTTATGGAATTTCTTCGAATGGCAACGCGCCACCAGAAATCTTACGATCTACGACTTTCGAATCTTACGACTTACGACTGTCTTATGGAGAAATCATGTGAGTCATTGGCCAAAATTAAGCGATATTAATTTCCGTTTTAACTATTCAAAAAAAATGCATTTCAATGAAATACATCGAGTGCTCTTGCTTGCCCCGGTGGTGCCAACGATTCGACTTACCATGTCGTGGTCTTCCTCAGAACTGGTATGGCCCCTGGTCAGCAGACCAGCTCTGAGGAAGACCACGACAAGATGGTCACAACGTCGGCACCACAGCATTGGACGCTGCGACACTCTGACAGTCAAGGGCAAAGGCAAGTTTCTGTCCGCGGAAGCTTATGACTGCAACGAAATACGTCATTGAACTTGTCAGTTGAAAATAAAATTAAACATTTTGCATCGAACGGATCTATGTATCCTAGTCCGTTTACGTAGTAAGTGCCATACGTTCTTTAACTTGCTACGTTCCAGTTAGAAACAATGAGTATTCTTTGTTAAAAAGGTTTTTCTCCCATAAAAGTGATATGCCAAATATGAGACTCCACTTAGATTTCTTACCATAATTTATTTCATATTGCTATATACAAGCAATAAAATAATTATTTCATAAACATTACACAAAACTAGAATATAAAAAGTTGTTCGTCAATGTAAAACCTGGTAAAAATAAGTCCGATTTTAGAAACAAAATATATACAAAATAAGTTCTCGGTGTATCGGTTGGTTGAAAATAAATCATTTATGTTTTCGTAATTTTCTAACAAAAGTATTTTGTATTGAATCGCATCAAAGTACACAGAAATGACCGGTAGCCTATCCATTGAAACTAGTTCGTATTTCACTTTAGATCGCATTACGATCCTAACTGAGCGCACTCGCTGAACATTTTTGGCATCAGACGTTGCTCCCCCACCGAAGACTCAGTGACCTTGTCCTTCTACTAGGCCTCCAACGCGCCGCGCCGCGACGCTGCACGGTCAACTGGCGACGCGTTGTTCCAGTACCTGTAGCGGTACCTGTTGCTCGCCCGCGACCTTCGCCAACCGCACTCGCACTGGCACTCGCCCTCCCCGATTGATCGCCCGCCTCCCGTCTCCGCGGCTTCCCACGCCCACCGCCCTTCACCCTTCGCCCTTCGCCCTTCGCCCACCGCCCTTCGCCCACCGTCCATCGCCGCCCCCGCTCCCGCGACGGCCACCCTTCGCCCACCGTCGTCCCGCGCT